AATAGTGATGGACATCAATATAAAAAATAGCAAAGAAAAATTAACACTTAACAATATTAGTTACCAACACAACCGAAAGATGTTGCCTTTATTTGCAAATTAAGAAAATATATGCTTCGTGTAACTGTTATACAATCTACAACAGTAATTACAGATTACTTATAGGAGCATAAAAATGTTTGAAAACACATTAGCGGACAGATCGAAACCTACATATCTTTCGATAATTTTTAATCCGTTATGCTCCTAAAAGAAGATACTTTTATGTATACAAAAATAAATAATAATAAAAGTACCTTGCCAGTTTTGCATAATGAAACATGTATTAAAAGAGATTGCTACCGAAATACACAACTCTCTCTCTCTCTCTCTCTCTCTCTCTCTCTCTCTCTCTATATATATATATATATATATATATATATATATATATATGTGTGTGTGTGTGTGTGTGTGCGCATGTGTGTGTGTGTGTGTGCAAAAACACAATAATAATAATAATAATAATAATAATAAATCCGCTGGTAAATATTCTAAGTGAATCCTAATATAAAATATTAAACTAACCCACAGAGTTCAATGTTTTTATTATAACAGAGCATATATTACAAGGAAGTATTGTTGGTTGAAATATATATATATATATATATATATATATATATATATATTGAAAGAGAGTTGTGGAAAATCGTTTTAGTGACAACGGGATTTGCGTTCGTGTGTTTGGTGACACCTTCAGACACATACTGATACACACACACACACACACATAAACACACACACATAAACACACACACATAAACACACACGCACATATATATTGTATATTTAGGTATCAACTCTTCGTGTATGCATGTTTCAATAAAACACACTTAATGCACACACTCAATTAAGCTGAAAAATTGATAATGTCTAAAGGTATAGCTGAAAGCGCACGGAACTATAAAACTTTTGGACATTTTTTATACACTCTTTGTCCAGATGTGTAAGCTCTTGTTCGAATACAAGAAATATTAATCTTAGTGCCTTGACTGCCGTCTTTAATGAAACATGCATATATATATATATATATATATATATATATATATATATATATATATATATTAATGAAATAAGGGAAAAGAATACCTTTTATGTCAACGAATTATATGTAGCAATCGCAATTTATACCCAGTAACATGAAAAAAAAATATGTGTTGAAATTTTGAATGAGATAAATGCTCAGAAAGTTTTTACAAACTTCCTGCCAGACATAAAGCTAAACTATTGTGGTAAATATCTGAAGTTATTATTCGTTTATTAAAAGACATTGAATTAATGTTTCTGTTGTTGCTGTTACTGTTTTCACGTAATTATTATTTATTTATTTTTATGTAATTTTATGATGATTAATTTTGTTTATTTATTTAATTAACTTTAGCAAGTCAGGGGCTAAAAGCTTCAGCGAAAATTTGAACACTTAACGCTATTTTTTTCCACGTTACTTCTGTGTATTAAACAAGTTATTGAGAACAATTCTAAACTTGCTTAAATAAAGGTTCTCATGGATCGAAACGCGTTGATATAAAAGGTTTCCATTTGGCATTTCTTTCATTAATATTATATATATATATATATATATATATATATATATATATTTACTTCTGAATGCGCGGGCACACACACGAACACACATATATAGTGGCTCTTACAGCTATTAAGCATTACTCTTCAAATTGTCTGAGACGCTGGCGTATATCCTATAATGAAAAAGTTTAAACTTCCCTTCCATTACGCTGTGCGACGATGTCCGAGATGTAAGCTATCTGACTGAAGACAAATCAGTTTGGACTCAATCCCGGCTTGAAGCAATCGGGCAGCTATCCACGCTGAGGAGTTCCGATACACCGAAACACTCTTTGGATGACTATATATATATATATATATATATATATATATATATATATATATATATATATATATATATAGATAGATAGATAGATAGATAGATAGATAGATAGAGAGAGAGAGAGAGAGAGAGATAATGAGACAAAAACAGCACACCGCAGAGGTTAATTAATGACCAGCCCTCACACCTTTCAATTTTTTATCCTGTTTAGCCATTTGAAATCAGTTGTTTATCAGACGCGCCCTAGAAATATTGAGGAAATAAAAGAAAGAATTAAATATGAATGGCGCAGAAATGACAGTGCTAAATCTCCGACATGTTAATGAATCATGCAGACACAAGAATTGAAATGTGTTTTGAAATAGAAGGGGGTCATTTTGAACAGCACATATAACAATTAAATAACTAGTAAATAAGATTCCCATGTGTAATTATAGTTTTAATAAATTATCCCTATGATGCTCGATTTTGCCTCACCCTGAATATCATTCTAAATGTCTGTAACTGAACTATAAATTCAGAAAAAAATCTGACTTTACACTTTTGTCCAACAAAATGTCTTGTTCATATTAATCGTATTATATTCGATGGGATTTTATATATCAGCCATTTATGTGCCATGCGTGATAAACACTTAGGCGATTCATAACTTTCCCAAGGGAAACGTAAGTGAATGTAATGGATTCGACTGGAGTTCGAACTCGGCTCTCCGATTCCTCAATCCGTGACTTCACCATGACTATATATTTTATATATACAAGGGAGAAAATAACTACAATAAGATTTGGTTAGAATTTTACATCGAGAAACGTTGAAGCTATAGGCACGGTTAATTTTACTTTTAATTTGTTTTTAATGTTTACCACCTGAAAATACCTGTAAGCATATTAATCAGCTTGCTGCTTTAATTTTAATATTTATCGTTATTGTCTGAAAATACTCTGCAGAGAAAATTACTAATATTGTAATGAGGCATATTTAAAAAAAAGACAAAAAACAAAAAAAAATGATAAATATAAGAAAAAAAAGCAATAGCGATCTAAATATGCTCAGAGTGCTTAAGGTTTTGATTGATATGTTTTTTACGGCTTATGAACCTTTCATACATTATTTAAAGCCTGAAAATATTTTTAGAGTGCAATAACTTTATTGGAGATAATAATGATTTACGGATACAATTCCTACTAATTAACCGATATCTGAGTGAGAAAAAAATTGGAATCATACTTTTCTGAATGTTATTTGCGCAATATAAAGAAAAGACCAAAATTGGAACTCTGCTCTCGGATTACCAATTCCGAGCCGTTAGCTATTACACCATCGGTACATCTAAGATTACAGTACCTGATATTCCCCAGTAACCACCAATCTAGATAACGACCAGGTTCTTAACTTCTAGAATAAAATGTGTATCAACTATAGTCAGCATCCATATTATAGTTGGGTATTGACAGAGTCCTGTACGCTTGAATGCGTACGATCGCACACATTGAAAAATCCGTTCACTGGAACTTAACGCAAGAGAGCCAAAAATGGAGAAAGACTAAATGAACGCGTTACGTTTCATATCATTATGTTCAATGAGGCATGTCTGACAATAGTACCATCTTGAGAAGCTGTTGAAAATAGACCATAACGATTTTTTGGCGGAATATTTAAAAAAATATATACTCGTTTATGATATCTTTATTTTTCTGTGATATTCGCACTATACGACCTGTATTTGACTAATGCTTGTAAAATCTTTCGAATCCTTGTGCTTCTTGAAAGGTTGCTTCTTATAATTCCCTTTAACGTGGCGCTGTTTTCGAAATTGCTTCTGCGTTATAGAGGGGGAAAAAACTGAATTCTTTCCTTTAGACTTTTTTTCAATCAAATTTTCAGAGAGAAAACCGAATGAATATGCAAAGTTCATGAGTCTGATTTTCAGATCAATAGAATTCTCCAACGAATTCTCAAGTACGTTCGAAAAATTGATTTCGGTTTGTTTCTGAATTCTATATTTTGTTACTATCGATTCTTAAAGATGAAATTCAGTGAGAGCGCAAAGTTTCACAAGAGGAGATCTCTTGTCGACCTTCTCATCCGCTTATCTCTGGGTTGGTTTGTCTATTCGTCAATCTTATGAATTCAGGCCGCAAACTTCAAAGTGGAAATATATCATCGCATGATAAATACTGATGAAGAATTTTGCCGAAACAAATCTTAAGACATTCCAAGCAAATGAAATCGAAGTGAGTTATCATATATATATATATATATATATATATATATATATATATATATATATATATATATATATATGTATGTATGTATGTATGTATATAACGCGATTAGAATATAGATCGATGCAGGTAGATTGATAAAGATAGGCGTATTATTATGATTAGTTACTAGTAAACGTATGAAGTGGATTAACAAAAAGCAAGAAAAAAAAAACAATAAATAAGATATAAGAAGATGAACATGTTTCATCCTTAAAAGTGTTGGCACTAAAAGAATTTAATGTGAGGTAGTGTGAGGGAGTCAAAGAAAAGATTTTAGTTTGTCTCACTTAACAATGAAGATCCATCAGTTATCTGCCATACGTGATACAGTCTTAGGCGATCATGTATATTTCGATAGATGACTGAAGAGGCAGATTTTCCCGCAGTCTGTTGCCATTTCTTTCTGCGGTAGACCAGTTGCCATCCAAGGCTACAGAACCCGGTCTGTCAATAGCTGGGAGAAGAAAAAGAGGATTCCTACCTTTCCCAAGGTTAGCATCTGAGTAAATGTAATGGATCTGACTGGAATTCGAACTCGGCTCACCGATTTCTCCGATCCGCTATCAATTACTCCACCGTGCCTCTCAACACTGAAGACAGAAATCAAAAATATATTTCTAGTCCGTTTGAAAAACTAAAAGATAGTGAGTTTATGCGAAATATTGAATATTGATCGCTAAAAATGCCAAGCTTTTTTTTTTCTTTTTTTTTCACGTTAGCATGAAAAATTAACTTTCTTTGATGAAATCAGATTATTTTTCAACTAATGCAGATTACATTAAACTTCCTAACGTTCTTAGCAATACATTTTCACTTTCTTCTAATCATTATCTCTCCTCTGCTTCAAGTTTTTCTATCTATCTATCTATCTATCTATCTATCTATATATATATATATATATCTATCTATCTATCTATCTATCATAATAGCTAGCTAACTATCTATCTATCTCAGATATTTCATATTTATCTATGTTTAAGTCAGTTTATATCTCTCACTCAAAACAGTGATCCCAACGCCCGAAACATGATGAGAATAGCCCGAATGTATATAGTAACTTCTTGGGGTGGAAAATATTGCATGCAGAACTCTGTGATATAAGAAATGATTATAAATTATAGTATACTAATCCCCCTAATCATTAACATATATCGAAGTATTCCTCGTATGTCAAATAATAAAGTCCACTGACAATCGTTATCTTCTGTCTTCTTAATTTGTTTTATTATTCTCTCTCCTTAATAATATTTTCCTCATACTCTAACACTCAGTAACCAAATGCAAATTAGAGGCATTATTGATTTTATTGGGGAGAAATAATTTAAAAAAATATTTAATACATTTTAAATGGTTTCAAGCTAGAAACATTCCAACGGTCAAAAATATAATCTTAATCATAATATATTCAGGGTTATAATGTTCATATGCTTGTTTAAGATTTTCTTAATATTGACAGAACCAATAGCAGCTGCCAAAGCCGAATGAAATCTGTAAAGAACATAGGGTAAAATGAAAGACTCCAGTAATCAACCGTCTCTGGTAAATGCGCGTAGAGTAGCCGATTGCTCACAATTATTTCGCAAAAACTTAAAAAAAAACATCTAAAAGAACAAAACAAAACAGGATAACATCTACAATTTTTCATCAAATTTACAGGTACCATTCGTGCAGTTTGAAATCATTGAAATTAGTTTTTTTTTTAATATTTGCTTTTCAAATGAATTTTTTTTAATGTCTTGTTCCATTAAGTTTTTTTTTTTTTATTTGTTGTTTGAAAGAAAGTTTTGAATAATTGTTGTTCCGCTGCCAGTCTCTCCAAAGATCTTTATGCAATTCTGTCAGTAAAGCAGATATCCTTTGCGCAAATCCATGAGGATATTTTTGAAAACATTACTTCAATATGACTCCAATAATCTCAGCAGGCTCGAGGTCAGGTATATTTCAAGATAATTGCCTAATTTATCTTTTAAAAAAAAAGAACCATAAAGAATACAGAAGATAACAATTGTCATTCTGCGTAACTTTTTGAAGATCTAATTTGACTTGGAAACATGAAACCGGAAGAGCGTTCCACAAACCAGAAGTGCGATAGTAACAATATATTGCTTAAATTTTATTTGTAAAAAAAAAACTTGTATAATTATAAGGGTATCTTTACCTATAGGCTTAGTTTTATCATTAGACATGCGTGGGACACTTCGATGTATGTTGATGTTTAGTGACATTAGTATACTTAAGTATTTGTTATAATTTTAAACTTCATAGGGGTCGGAAGGCAATAATTTACATCCGAAGAAGTTACTTAAACTATTGACTTTCGGAATATTCTCATCACGTTTTGGGCGTTGTGATCACCGTTTTGATACCCGGTGTATCTCGAACCCTTGTAACTTACACAGAATTTCAAACTGGACCCGTTATTTAATCTAGAGACGTAGATTGTTTTCGTTCCACTCCCCATGTCTAGGTATATATCGTCTAGTTATCATTTTAATAATGTTCAGAATGCAAGTAAAGACTGTCCGACCCTTGGATTGAACTTCCAATTACTATGTCACCAATTTTATGCTTTAATCCACTAGGCTAATATTCTGTGGAATATTTGGGGCCTTAAACCTAACCTGCCTACTGATGAGTGCTGTTTATGTTGCTTGACTGCACGCATCGAAGTTTTTTTCTTCCCTTTTTGTTACAACTGCTGCTACTTGTTTTGCTGCTGCTTGTGTTGCTGCTGTTGACTACTTGTCTTTCTTTATTAGCGGCTCTCATATCTTAATTATTTTGTTCGAGGCCTACTAAAGAGATACTGATAGTCTTGCGTATACACTGATTCTTTCAGACGCCTAACTCTCAAGAGTACTTCCTTGTCCATTATTCATTCCACTGGGACTCATGAATACCTTCTTTCCTTCCATACATAATCAGCCAATATTCCTCATGCAGATACTGTAACTAAAGATAAATTTTCATCCCAGAAATTCAGACAGAAATTATCCCAAGCACATTTGTTGTTGTTGTTGTTGTTGTTGTTCTTCTTCTTCTTCTTCTTCTTCTTCTTCTTCTTCTTCTTCTTCTTCTTCTTCTTCTATGTGTCATGTCCTTTCTGTATCCCTTGTAGACTTTAGCAACTTTTTCCTCTTTGCCAAGGTACCTGTCCTCCATTTTGTTATCCATTTACAATAGCTCATCAGTTAGGTGGTCTGTTGCATTCCCTTGCCCTTCTTGTCTTCGATATAGACTGAGAATATTAAATTTGTTAACCCCTCCTTCCTTATTATATGTCCAAGAAATTTAATAATTTTTGTTTCTATTCACCATAATACTTCAATGCTTACGTACCCCTGAAATCCTCAGCATCCTTCTATAGAACCACATTTTACTTGCCTATCGTTTTCTCATCATCTGTCTGGCGATTTCCCACCATTCGTGCGTATAGATATTGCATAACAGTTCAGTAATCTTTTGTTTCTTTGTAACGAAATGTTCCTGTGTTGTATCAGTTTACTGTAATAATTATTAGCATCTTTTAGAACGCTATAATGCACATGTAGTCTACAGATTCAAGAAAAACTTGTAGAAATCTTAGGAAGCATATGCTATTCTAATTTATCATTTGTATACACATTAGGATTTGTAATGATATTAAGATAATGACGACAGCAACGTTAGTGAATATCAACCTCACTTTCTAATTATTTGCTCATTTTAATGTTTAATCCATTGTCAAATAAGTAATCTTGTCAAACGAAATACTACTATAGTATAATTATGAACGTTACTTTTTTAGTTCGTAAGTTACACCTTTCTGTAGGCTCATAAACAATCAATTATTCCGTTTTAAGACAGAAAAGACATAGTCAGAGGATTCTTCTGGTTTCAAACCAAGCAAGAAAGCAAAGAAGGAAAGAAAGAAAGAAAAAAAGAATGAAAGAAATGATAAATGAGGTGTCAATTCCGTCCTATATTTAACGTCTAATTCAATGAAATGGAAAATCTTATCGATTTAAAATAGTTTCATTGGTAACTTACTGCGTCTTTACATAATGATCAGGATTCATAATTCTGGTTTTGATTGCAACATTTTGTTAATGTTGTTGATCTAAAATATTTAACAATGAAATAAGGGAATTTCCACGGATATATCTCAGTCATGGACCAATCACTGAGCTTATTCCTTCAATATTATGAGAGAGCAAAAATTTAAAATAGGAACACCGTGAAGTTTTCGTGGATACTACTAGTATAATATTAATTTAAGTATATATTCATAAATACAGAGAGAAATATTGCATTTATATACACTATATTGTAGATTTTAGGTTCTAGAACGTTGCTAATCTGCAAATAAGAACAAATGCAGCCTACGCCTGTAGGAATTTAAGAACGTAGAACTGAGCAAGGACACAGAATAGAAAGAAGCTTGATCCAAAGGTTTGGATTCTCACTGGTTTTATTCAACCTTACTCCAAGGAATGTTTGTTCCAATCACTGGAATATTTGCAAAAATACCTCCTCACCAAATCCATAGACAAAACATACTGGTGCATGCTGCAATTTCTTCCTGGGCCAATTCTCAGTCTCATCGAATTTCTGGTTTTTTTTTTTGTTTGTTTTTTTTTTACTAATGTTTACCCAATACTAGACCCAAGAGCCACACAAGGTATATGGTTACAGTGTTGACTTGTAACAGTATAGGAAAGAACAAAGTTTAGGAGTATAGATCTGAAACAGTCTTTAGAAGGAACCGGAAACCCAATCCTAAACAGGAAACAAGGGATAAACCTCTACCCCTTTTTAAAAATCCAAGAAGGAGGTGTAAACTAGAAAATAAGCGAACATATATACTCTTCTATCTTGTCTTGAAGTCATAACGCAGTAATCGCTTGTCTGTATACCTTTAGTGTGTTAACACCATTCATGGTTTTGAACTTTTTGCCTCATTACTGTTACTTTGATTACATTAGTCTTGAATGTATCGCTTGATTAATATTATCTTTGCCCAGTTCCTTTCTATTTTTTGTTATTTTTATTTCAATCTATGTTAATTCTATTTGCTGGGCATTTCTGCCAAGCACATTTGATCATTTACTCTACAATGAAAATGGTGTGTAAATTTTCTACTTCGTGATCGATTCATATCTCACCTGATACCAGTTAGTCTTTAAAAAAAAACTCCCCCTAATCATGAAACCCGTAACCCTAATAGAGACATAGTGTCACCACATTTACTTGCCGTCTCAGTAGCAGAAGTGTTTTCTGGGCAAGATAGCCTGAGGGATTCGATCCTACTATACGTGTTGTTTTGAATTTTGAGTTTTTCCTTCCCCTAGACTGGTTGACACCAAGGCGCTGTCTATCCTGCTTTTTACTCTTATCTGGTGGGGGAGAAAGCATGAATTAATAACTTTCACATAAGTGAATGAAATGAATTTGACTGTAATTCGAACTCGGCTCACCGATTCATAAATCCGATCCATTATTCCACTGTGCCTCACCTATTCACACACTCTAAAATGTCAATTACCAGTGTAAAATCGTAAGCAGTTTGCAGAGAAACCGGCTCACAGCCTGACTCCATATTATCATTCGGTAACCTTCTCACACGAAATAAACTGTAAACCCCCCCAAAGACAAACCCTCCCCTAACAAGCCGATTTGTTATCGTTATTTTATCATCCAATATCTATATTCTTTGGCTTTAGAAATTCGAACCGACGGTAGTTTGTCCATTTTGGCGGCCATGTTGGTTGCCGATAAATAAATTACACATAATATAGTGAGGTATCTAATGTGTGTTGTCTGACAGGCTGTGTAGCACAATATTTAAGTTGAAATTTAATATCAATTTTCCTATACGGCTGATATCTGTCCGTAAAACATGTGCACTTATATTCTTTGCTAACATATATTAGAACAGAACTTATAT